CAGGTGAACTGGTGGGTAGGTGAACTGGTGGGCAAGTGAACTGGTGGGCAGGTGAACTGGTGGGTAAGTGAACTGGTGGGCAGGTGAACTGGTGGGCAGGTGAACTGGTGGGTAGGTGAACTGGTGGGCAGGTGAACTGGTGGGCAGGTGAACTGGTGGGCAGGTGAACTGGTGGGTAAGTGAACTGGTGGGCAGGTGAACTGGTGGGCAGGTGAACTGGTGGGCAAGTGAACTGGTGGGTAAGTGAACTGGTGGGCAGGTGAACTGGTGGGTAGGTGAACTGGTGGGTAGGTGAACTGGTGGGCAGGTGAACTGGTGGGCAGGTGAACTGGTGGGTAAGTGAACTGGTGGGCAGGTGAACTGAACTGGTGGGCAGGTGAACTGGTGGGCAGGTGAACTGGTGGGTAAGTGAACTGGTGGGCACAGGTGAACTGGTGGGCAGGTGAACTGGTGGGTAGGTGAACTGGTGGGTAGGTGAACTGGTGGGCAGGTGAACTGGTGGGTAGGTGAACTGGTGGGTAGGTGAACTGGTGGGCAAACTGGTGGGTGGTGAACTGGTGGGCAGGTGAACTGGTGGGTAGGTGAACTGGTGGGCAAGTTAACTGGTGGGCAGGTGAACTGGTGGGTAGGTGAACTGGTGGGCAAGTTAACTGGTGGGCAAGTGGGTAAACTGGTGGGCAGGTGAACTGGTGGGTAGGTGAACTGGTGGGCAGGTGAACTGGTGGGCAAGTGAACTGGTGGGCAGGTGAACTGGTGGGTAGGTGAACTGGTGGGCAAGTTAACTGGTGGGCAGGTGAACTGGTGGGCAGGTGAACTGGTGGGCAAGTTAACTGGTGGGCAGGTGAACTGGTGGGCAGGTGAACTGGTGGGCAGGTGAACTGGTGGGCAGGTGAACTGGTGGGTAGGTGAACTGGTGGGCAGGTGAACTGGTGGGCAAGTTAACTGGTGGGCAGGTGAACTGGTGGGCAAGTTAACTGGTGGGCAAGTTAACTGGTGGGCAAGTGAACTGGTGGGCAGGTGAACTGGTGGGCAAGTTAACTGGTGGGCAAGTTAACTGGTGGGCAGGTGAACTGGTGGGCAAGGTAGGTGAACTGGTGGACAAGTTAACTGGTGGGCAGGTGAACTGGCGGGTAGGTGAACTGGTGGGCAAGTGAACTGGTGGGTAGATTAACTGGTAGGCAAAACTTTCAGCTCTAAAATCATCACATTCAGAGCTGAAAGTTGGAATTTATGTTTCTGCCAAGTTGCATCTACGAGGACCGAGCTCTAGCTCTCTAGCCCCGCCTTCAAGATAGTGTCCCCAGGGTATTTACATCGAGCATTTTGTTCTAATGACACGTGTCTTCCACCCACTCTTCCACCAGTGTGGTCCCTTTCCACATAAGTCGTCCCCTTTTCCACCAGCGTCGCCCCCTCGTTCCTCTGTCTTTTCCCTGGGAAATGATGTTCGAAATGCTACTGTTAGTGGCACTTACGTCATATATAGTACATGTACACTGTATGTACTACCTGTCTGGAAGGATAAGCTGTTGTATTGTGCTGGTGGGACGGAATACAGTATATTGTAGCTTCGTTATGCACTGATTTTGCTCGGGTTGAGTTATGTTATCTAATTGTAGTGGATATTGTGATGATGAGTTCAGGCATACAGAGTTGCCTGTACTGAATACCTCGAAGACTGCTGGCCAGCTGTTCCGTAGTGACAAGGTGACTATCTTGAGGTTATCTTGAGATGATTTCGGGGCTTTAGTGTCCCCGCGGCCCTGTCCTCGACCAGGCCTCCACCCCCAGGAAGCAGCCCGTGACTAACACCCAGGTATCTATTTTACTGCTAGGTAACAGGGGCATAGGGTGAAAGAAACTCTGGCTATTGTTTCTCGCCGGCGCCTGGGATCGACCCCGGGACCACAGGATCACAAGTCCAGCGTGCTGTCCGCTCGGCCGACCGGCTCCTACTGGTGACAAACATTACATAATATCTCGTTTCCGTCATGCTTCTTGACCGGGTCATGTCACGTCATGTTGACAGTCAGCTCCATGGTCGTGCACCTGTCAGAATTTATTTATTTAATTTACTTATTATTTATTAATTAATTCACCTATTTAATTTATCTCCACATTCAGATTTGTAGATTATAATATATTTTTAAGGTGAAAAGTAGGATTTAGACTCTATAGATATAGATATATGCAGACGAGGAGTCACAATAACGTGGCTGAAATATGTTGAGCAGACCACACACACTAGAAAGTGAAGGGACGACGACGACGTTTCGGTCCGTCCTGGACCATTCTCAAGTCGATGTCTATATAGATATAGACATCCTACTATACAGAGTATAGTAGGACGCCGAGTCTGGTAGTATTCTGGTGATTATTACTTGTATGTGATTGAATATTGAATTAGTCAAGCATCAGAAATAGTAGTATTTCTGCGGGAGCAATTCTACAGTCACATGATCAATAATAGAGCACGAATTGAATGATGTTATTTAAGTAGCCAATAGCAGGCTACAAATCTTATAAAACGCCCTGGAGTGGGTGGCGGAAAGCTAGGATTGGTCAGTGACTTGTCAGCGACCAAATATTAAAGTCTTCCGACGAGCGCTCTTATTACGGGCTCACCATAGCCCGTGCTACATGGACACTTCGTTCTGAGTAGCTAAATCTGAAACAACGAGCGCTTTTAATCACCGACGAGCGCTCTTAATCACTGCTGAGCGCTCTCAATCACCACCGAGCGCTCTTACTCACCGAAGAGCGCTCTCAATCAGCGTTCAAATTCCCCAGAATTGGAGATTAGCTAAGCTCTGTTGACGTGAACGACGCCCCTGGGAATAGTATAGTTGAATTCGGAGGCATCGAGTCCTGTAGTGCAGTGGTCTACATTATCGATTCACAATCGAGAATGCCGGGTTCGATCCCCGAATGGGACAGAAATGGTTGGGCACGTTGTTTCTTTTCACTTTATGCTCTGATTTCGTTAAAACAAAATGCGACGTATTTAGTGAAAGGACGGGTTGAACACGCTCCAGTGGTTGAACACACTCCAGTGGGTTGAACACACTCCAGTGGGTTGAACACACTCCAGTGGGTTGAACACACTCCAGTGGTTGAACACACTCCAGTGGGTTGAACACACTCCAGTGGGTTGAACACACTCCAGTGGGTTGAACACACTCCAGTGGTTGAACACACTCCAGTGGGTTGAACACACTCCAGTGGTTGAACACACTCCAGTGGGTTGAACACACTCCAGTGGGTTGAACACACTCCAGTGGGTTACAACCCATCCTCGACTCAAGTGTATTACATCCAGCGGTCGACCCCACAGACGCATTCATAAATTTTAACATGCTGTTCATTCAAAACGCGATTTTTTCAAATATAAATTAATATTATATTATATTAGCATATTGTGCATAGATTAGGTGTTTAGGTCAACTCATCCTCCGAATTGACAGTACGTTTTAATACTAAGTGTAATAAGTGCATTTCCTGACTGGGTATGGGGTGCATAATAAATGAACTAAACTAAACCTGACTGCTATACATAGCACATAATTGCACTTATGGGGCTGTTACATTTACCCATCCCCCGATTTAAATCTCCTCGTTTTCTGTTAGGACATTTATAATTTGAAGATGAAATTTTAAGCTCAGTTGCTGTAAACAAGTTTTGAATATTAGGATTTTCTTTTTCACTTTTATTATACATTAGAGATTTTATACAAAATTTGAAAATATCCTGAGTTACTTTACAATTTATTGAAATATTTTAGTTTTGTTTTATAAAACTGTAATATTAATATAGCTATAGGTTAATTAGTAGTTATAATTAAGATGCAATAAAATTTTTATCTTCACAAACTAAGACGGTTAGATTAGGTCGTAGTTTTCTATTCAGCTTTTTAGGTAAACTCAAATATTCACAATATATTTGACTACGATTTAATACTTAGTGTAAATAAGTACAATTCTTAACTGTTATACATAGTACATAAGTGCATTTATGGGGCTCTGTACATTTACCTCCCCATTTTTGGAGGACGGGCTGGTTTAGGTTC